ATATCATACACAAAAACACAAAAACTAACTCAAAATGGATCAAAGACCTAAAGATAAGAGATAAAACTCTAATATAACAGAGATATATAAACTCTCTAATATGAGATAAAACTCTAACAATACACCTTCTTAGAAGAAATATAAATTTTCATGACCTTGGATTAGGCAACGATCTCTTAGTTATGGCACCAAAAGCACAATCAACAACAACAAAAAATAGATAAGCTGGACATCAAAGAATTAAAAACGTATGTGCTTCAAAAGACACCACTAGGAAAATAAAAAGCCAAGCCATTGATTGGGAAAAAATATTTCCAAATCAAGTCTGATAAGGAACATGTATTGAGAATACAGGCATACCCCATTTTATTATGCTTCATTTTACTGCACTTGGCAAATACTACATTTTTTACAAATTGAAGGTTTGTGGCATCCTTGTGTTGAGCAAGTCTATTGGTACCATTTTTCCAAAAGCCTTTGCTCGCTTCGGGTCTCTATCACATTTTGGTAATTCTTGCAATATTTCAAATTTTTGCATTATTATATTTGTTATGGTGATCCGTGATCAGTGATTACAACTCACAGAAAGCTCACAAGATGGTTAGCATATTACAGCAATAAATTATTTTTAATTAAAATATGTATATTGGTTTTTTTTAGATAACATGCTATTGCACACTTAACAGACTACAGTATAGCGTACATATAACTTTTATATGCACTGGGAAACCAAAAAATTTATTTGACTTGCTTTACTGCAACATCCACTTTACGGCAGTGGTCTGGAACCAAACCCTCAATATTTCCGAGGTATACCTATATGGAGGAACTCTTACCGTTCAGTATTTATTTAAAATGGCAAAGGATGTGAATAGACATTTCCCCCAAACAAGATCTACAAAGGGCCAATAAGAACATGAAAAGATGTTCAATGTCACTATTCATCTGGGAAATACTAATCATAACCACAAAGAGATACTACTTCACATCCACTAGTGAGACAGGAGGGAGGAAGACAAGTTGACCAAAGCAAAGCCATTGTGGTTTTAGGCTGACCCTTAACCTAAAAGTCAGCAGGTAATAAAGAGAGTCACAAGATCTGACTCGTGGGAGAGCATAAGACCCTACTCCCTCTGGCAGTAAAAGCCACAAAGGCCAGACATTCCTAAAATTGCTCCCTGTGGGTAATTTCACAACTGTAAGACAATGGAAAAACTAACCACTCAGTGTAAATGATAAACCCAAAGCTAAAGAGTAAGCCCCTTCTTATATAGTCAACTAATTTTAAAACACATAAAACACTTTCTTAGATGCAAAGGCGGAGCGGGGGGGGGGGGGGGTCCTCTTCCTCACCTGAGAGAAGAGACAGCTATTTTGTCTGTGAAGTAGCTCCTTTCTTACTTCTATACTTAATAAATTTGTATCTCTTTCTCTAAACAGCCTGCTCCTGAACTCTTTCTCGCCCAAAGCCAAGAGACCCTCATGGCAAGGGGCCTGAGGCCCTCCCTCTTGGAGTCTCAGCCCATCTGGTATGACTAGGATGGCTGTAATCAAAAGACAAACAATAAGTGTCTGTGAAGATGTGGAGTAACCGGAACCCTCACATGCTGCTGGTGGCAACGCAAAACGATGCAGGCACCGTGCAACACAGTCTGACTGGTCTTCCGATGATTAAACACAAAGTTACCATATGGTCCAGCAATTCCACCCCAGGCTATACATTTAACAGAAATCAAAACATACATGCACACACCAAAAAAGTGCACACGAATGTTCACAGCAGCATTATTCTTAATCGCCAAGAAGTGGAAACAACCCAAATCAAATGCCCGTCAACTGATGAATAAATAAAATGTAGTATATCTACACAGTGGAAATTATTCAGCCATAAACAGCAGTGAAGTTCAATGAAGTTCTAGCACACAGTACAACCCGGATAAACCTTAAAAATATTATGCTAAGTGAAAGAAGCCACACACAAAAGACCACACATTATACGATTTCATTTATAGGAAAAGCCCAAAATAGCCAAAACTAGAGAGAGAAAAAGTAGTTTAGTCATTATGGAGGGCTGGGAGGGAGAGAAGGAGTGGGGAATTATTGCTAATAAGCAGGTGGTTTGTTGGGAGGTAATGAAAGCGTTCTAAATTTAGATTGTGAATATATTCTGTAAACACTAAAACCACTGAACTGTACACTTTACAGGAGTGAATTTTATGGTATGCTAATCTCAATAGGGTTGATTTTTAAAAGAGGCATCACCTAGCTGCAATATATGAACCCCTCTGACCTCGAACAAATTCAACTATTTTTAAGGCACTGGTGAGACAACCAGGGAAACAAAGACTTGGGGACATTAAGGAAACATGTTTCGCATTTTTTTTAATGTGTGCCCATGAATTGCAGTTATGTTTTTAAAAGAGGTCTTTCTTATCATTCAAGATACATCCTGAAACATTTTCAAATGAAACGATCTGGTAATGGCTTCAAACTCATCTGCGCTGACAGAGTATATATAGACAAAACAAAATCACTGGTGCTGTGTAATAGGTACATAGGGATTCATTATACTAGCCACTCTAGCTGTATCCGTACTTGAAATCCTGCAAAATAAAAAGGTTAAAAGAAAATAAAAACACTCCTAAGAGCTACCGTCTGTATTTGTCTAATTATTTGCATATATTGTGAAGAAAGTCACTTAAGCAGCGGGTAAGGTCAGCAAATGGTCAATGTGGGTTTCTGCTTATTTTTTTTTAAGCCATGTTGTCAACATTAATTTGCTCTATCTACAATATTGTGCTTTCAATAAAGCTTTTACCAACCAATCAGAAATGGTGTCTGAATTTGTACAAGTATATTTCAATTACACACCTTATTTCTCGAGAGAAAATTAGTCTTAGTCCACATTCAGTATGTCAGGTTACAATTATGGAGGGCATACTGTTATTCTTCAAAATTGAACTATAAAAAAAAAGTTTTATGAATTTTTCTTCCAGGCTCTACTATTTCACTGTTTGTTTAGTCTTCAGCCCAGTAAAACATAGGCACACAGGAATTAAACCAATTTGTCTCAGTTTGAATTTTACAGGAGAAATCAATGGGAATACATATTTTGAAGACAACCCAGAAGAACAGACATGTGGACATAAAACTGCTGGCCAATTTTCCTCCTGTATTTTAATTTCTCTCAGAAAATCCCGAGGTAAAAGACTTGAGCCAAAGGAAACAAGCATGAATTTGGACTTCTAAAGCGTACATGACATGAAGAGACTTGTGACGCTAACTCTTTAGAAGGCCATGCTACATCTTGGCTCTAATATGAAGAAGCAATTAAAGGTGTCACCTTGGTGCCACAGTCTATCATTTCAAGAAGTGCCCCAGCTAATAAGGCACAGGTCTAGACCAGGTTCCCCCAAATTCCATTTAACCTCTTCGAAACAGAAATGTAATTTTCTAAATGTCATTGCCAAGTATTTTTCTGCATGGCTTATAGTTGATAAGAAATTCAATCTTAGAGGAAAACAAACTGGAATCACAAAAGGCTGTCACATTCGTTTTGTGTGGACTCTTTCTCAAGATGTGTACTGTTACGTGTGTGAGACAATGATCTGGGACCCAGGTCTTCACCCATCAGACTCCATTACCTGAAATGAAGGAGCTCGGGTCAGGCTGAAGGGATCGGAACTGATTGACATAGTACTCGCGCTGTTCTTCTGTTATCCTCCAGGGTTCATCTGGGTAATTACTGTTGTTATCCTGCGGTTCTCTCTCCATGGAAAAGGACTTTATAAAAAATAAATATGCAAATGCTCAGAGAATTTGTCTTTAGCGAGATGAAGTAGAAATATTAAACGTCAGTAAAAGTTACGCATTATACTTATTTTTTCCTCAAGAGAATAAACACCTTGTAACTAGGACGTAATGAGAACATAAACTTCTGAGGGGCAGACAGCATGCTTTATACGTTTCTTTGTATACCTCAAAGTTGTTAACAGGACTGAGCATGAAATACTGAGTACTTGGTGAGGGACAAAAGTTTTTCCAATGTGATGAAGAGAGAGTAAAAAGGACGATCATTCTTTTCTTTTCAATTTTTTTAATGTTTTATTTATTTTTTGACAGCGAGAGACAGAGTGTGAGTGGGGGAGGGGCAGAGAGAGAGGGAGACACAGGATCTGAAGCAGGCTCCAGGCTCTGAGCTGTCAGCACAGAGCCCGATGTGGGGTTCGAACCCACGAGCTGTGAGATCATGACCTGAACCGAATGAAGTCTGACGCTTAACCGACGAGCCACCCAGGTGCCCCAAAAGGATGATCATTCTTACCTTCAAATATTCACCACATTTTTACCATTTCAGATTAGCTGAGTAGACAGCAAAATAATCTAGATTCCTTTTAAACCATTTTTAAAAATCTACAAAAGCTATAACCACGTCATCTTTTTTCTGAGGCATTCCCGGTGTATAAATCTGGGAATCCAAAGTTCCAATTCCAATGCCACCTCCGCAGGTCCTACTCGAGTGGCAAGTGAGGATCACAGAACCTCTCGTTCTGCATTTGTGAACTGGGAATAATGCTCCGAAACGGATCTAGGTAGAGAACAACCGCTCCTGACCACAGCAAACAGGATGACACAACCAGGGGTGCATCCGACCTGCCACTAGGGGGCATGCAAGGCAAATTTGAGGATTTAAGGATACAGACAACCGGAAAAGTAGTTCAGGAGAACACAAGACTATAAGAGGCAATGAGGAAAGAAGCACAAGTGGTTCCATCCCTCCCATCCACCCTAAGGCTAAGGAGCTACTTGCCAAGGGCCACCTCCATGGAACCAAGAGGTGAACACAAGCAACGTGAGCCTTAAGGACAAAAGCAGACTAGGAAAGAAGAGATATTACTGCTAATAAAGCCGCCTGCTTCTGAACACACTATCAAGAAATTAAACATTAGGAGAGCATTCTACTCACTATCCCTAGAAAAGACATCCAACCATCTCTGCACCCTTCCTCCCACCCCAACATACACACCCCCCACCCCAGCAAGTAATTCTTCCCAGGGACACCCAGCTCTCCTCTCCTCTGGGGCCTCTCAGAGAGGAAATGAGATTATAAAATGTTGAGCTGTGATATAACCTTGAGATGTCATCTTTAAAGTTTTCATTTAACAGGTAAATTTCCACTAAATGTAAATCAAACCATTTTTAAATGCCCCCCGAAGCCACTGATCATTAGTTAATACCTTAAATTCATAGAATGCTTTCGAATTTACCAAGGACTATACACACCTATCTCATCTGAGCATCTCAAAACCTCTCAAAGGTAGACATAGCAGGTATTATTATCCTTTTGCCAGATGAAGGAATGAAGACTCAAAGAACTCAAGGGATGAGCGCATATCCTTCGTTATTTTCCATCAGCATCAATGCATTACTGCAGTCAGCAAGTAACTGCCCTCCACTTTATCTATTGTTCAAAATCAGCCTACTCCGTATCAGGACTTTTCTAAATTGGGCTGCTTCCAAATTGTTTTCAGAAACCCCTAACATCCCGGTAATAATACAAATAAAGCAAGAAAGGCCACAATTCAGTCTAAGCACCCAGTGGACCACACAATTTTCCAAAACACTCCCACCAAATTCAAGTGCTCCACACTAGCACTTTCTGAACATGCCCATATGACCAGGTTCCAGGGGCAAAACCCAAGGTAGAGGGCATTGGCATGCAACGGATTGGGTTCCTGGCCAAATTACAATGTGTAGAGCTCCCGGGAATGCTGCCCTTCTGGGTAGCACTGAAAGAAACAGCTGGAGTAAAGGTATCTATCTAAAAAGCTGGGCACGGACCTGACACAAGAACAGATGTTTACGAGTGAACAATTAAGTGGACAGAGATGGTTCATGAACCCGGCAGGACACGGTTGGAGAGCTCTACCCACTGCCACCCTGCAAAGGAAGGCACAGAAATCTCTGTGCTGGGTGTTGGCCGCTGCATTCCTTGATTCTGACACAGAAGCTACTATTTCCCTACCATACACTCCTTTCCGCCTGGAACTGAAGCTGCCGTATCCAGTTGTTGTTATGTGAGCCCACGTTTGTTCTTTCTCCAATCCCAGGACCACCTGCTCACTCTATTTCCTCTCCCACATTATCTCACTCCTGACTGGCATCAGTAGCCTCTTAGCAGGTGTCAAGTCTATTCTGCCAGCAGGAAGCAGGAACAGACAGGAGAAGTGATGATTCCTCTGCTCAAAAGCATACAGAGACGACTTGTTGCCTAATTTAAAAAATGTACCTCCTCCACGCAGCCTTCAGGGTCCTTACAATTCCTCCTCCTCCTTGCTCACTCTCAGCAGGCATCTGCTCACTCTTCGTAGGTCAGATGTGTACCTTCTTCCCAGCCCATCCTTTCTCTGATCTCAGCCTATTATCCCCAGCCTCTGAGCCTATTACTCAAGTCCCAGTGCCCCCAAGGGCCCGCCAATGTACCTGCCAGGCCCACAGCTACTGCAGACGGCACTGCCCATCCCCCAGCTCTGACACAAAGGCGGGCCTGGCGGTTATGTGTGTACCATGACACCCAGCTCACACCTGCTCTTGCCCAACTGAGTCCAAGGAAGCAGGGGTGGGCACACAGTTTCTGGCCTCTGGGATGCTGTTGCATAGAAAGCTCTACTCTAGCAAGGAAAACTTCAGCCGTATGCTCATTACTGGGGGTGTGGATAAGAAATACGAAGATCAACAAGCACAGAAAGCAGACCCTGAGCAGATACAGAGAGGCCATGAGGCACAGTGACAGCCAGAACCAGCAGAAGCAGAACCCGTGAGGTAGAGAAGAACGAAAAAGAAAAGGAGGGGAGGATGGTGGTTGGTAGCCAAAAGATAAGCGGATAGTGAAGAAAACTCAAGGAGACTAGGGCAAGTCCTGTTAATGGCAAAACAAGCACAAATAACCAAGAACTCCCACTCCTCTGGACCAGTGGGCCACTCCCTGTCTCTCATTTCTTAGATTCGTGAGCACTCCAACCCTCCTCCATTTCAAGAAAACTTAAGCTGGCAAGGAGAGTTCCTGCTCCCTCAAACCAAGAAGGCCTCACAACAAAGAGAGAGGGCATATGAACACTGTATAACCCGTGCAGAACACAGTGTGGCCCTCCTCCTGGCTTGCACTAAATGTGTTCACCTACCCCCATTCTCTTTCCCCTTGCTTCCCACTGCATGGTTTTAACTGATTTAATAAACCAAGTAATTAGCCATCTTTAAAAGTATGAATTCTTGTAAGTGCCACACAGTGTGAACATTTCAAGTGCTCTTGAATATCATCACTCAGGTTTCAACCTGGAGGACCACAACCGTATCATGTACTCCTTTATTCTATGTACAGTCATTAGCAGGTACATCACAGATACCAAAGAGCAGTGTGAGATCCACTGACTGATGCACTCTAGTAAGTTCAGGTGTATGTCTTATATTAAAAGAGGTGCAGAAATACTACTCTGTGCTGTGCTTAATGAAAGAAAACCTAGGAGTCTATTTCATACTTAAAGTTTCAGATCTATCAAAAGAAGTCCATGTCTATCTTCCTGTAGTTCGTCCATGGTCTCTGATCTCTACGGGGAGTTCTCACGTTCCATATCCATTAAGTGAGTGTTTCAGGGACAGGTGAAGGTATATGGAAGGGGTAGATGACATTCCACATATTCTTAGGCTGAAACAGTCTAAAAGAAAGCTGATGTACAAGAAGCAAAATGATTTGAACTTTGCTGCAGGAGGTGATCTACTCATTCATTCATTCAACAGATACCTGCTGATCATTAAGTATATTTCAGACACTAGAGATTCTGGCTACCCTGTTGGGCCAACAGATTCTTTTTTTTCAAGAAAGGCTAGAGTTTAACCAGGGAGAAAGACAAACAGGCAATCTCAAAAACAGTGAAGGGTAGTCTAGAACTTTTCTACTCAAAGTACAGTCTCCAGACCACCCACATCAACATCACCTGAGGACTTACTAGAAACAGAGAACCTTGGGCTCTACCCTACATCTGGTGAATCATAAAGTTCCAGAGTAGGACCCAGGAATCTGTGGTGTAACAAGCCCTCTAGATGATATGAAGCACACTCAAGTTTGAGAAGCCAGGCCATAGAACAAGCAGGGCAAGACAAACACAAAAGGAATAGCATTTGTCAAAACTCCAAAAAATGAGAGAAGATGGCCATCTTCTGAAATTAGCTCAGTGGGCTACATGTAGAGAGAAAAGATTGCTGGTACAAAGCGGATGTTAGTGGAGTTGCCTCAAGGTGCTCCAGACAGCAAGCAAGGCCCAGATCATGAAGGCCCAGGTTGAGAGGTACCTACTGTATCTAGAAGGCAATAGGAAGCCACAGATAAGAATTAAACAGGACAATGAAATAATCAGATATCAGTTACAGAAAGATCACTTCAGTGAGGAGAATGGAAGGGGAAACACTAAAGGCAGGAAGACAAGTTAAGGCCACATGAGCAACCCTGGCCAGAGGTCAAGATGGGCCAGAGTTAGAGAGAGGATGAGAGGAGTCAGGGAGGAAAAAGCCATACGGCCATGACCAGAGGAAGGCCCACTCCAGCAGTGAGATGGCAGCTAAGGACCCCTCTGTCAGCGGCTCGAGGGCCATCTTGCTGCAGGACCCAGATATCTGCACGCAACATCTCCAAACAAACCCACAAGTCAAGTGAAACAGTGGGCACAACTTGACAAAGGTCTGAGAAGTCAGCCACCTAAGAGAGAATGTCGAACTGCAAAGGCTGGAAG